TTAATATTTCTAGGGGGTTTAGAGGGTTTTAGCTGATGAAATGAGACAAATTCATGGAAAGAAAAGCAGAAAGTTCCTGAAACTCACTCAGAACTATGAGCCCAGTGAATAATTACAGATGTTCCAGATGTTTCTGACTTATTTGGGTTTTCTGCTGATTGTTTGGGGCTTTAACCCGTCTGTCCCCAGCCGATAAGGCCTACCGGGACATGAAGGTCCTGAAGATGAGTCAGTCCATCATCGTCTCCGGGGAGTCCGGCGCCGGCAAGACGGAAAACACCAAGTTTGTTCTCAGGTCAGAACTATAAGTAGTTTATAACCGGTTAAATAAAGTAAACTATAAGTAGTTTATAAGTAGTTTATAACTGGTTAAAGACAGTAAACTATAAGTAGTTTATAACTGGTTGAATACAGTAAACTATCAGTAAATTATAAGTAGTTTATAACTGGTTAAAGACAGCAAACTATAAGTAGTTTATAACTGGTTGAATACAGTAAACTATCAGTAGATTATAAGTAGTTTATAACTGGTTAAAGACAGTAAACTATCAGTTAACTATAAGTAGTTTATAACTGGTTAAAGACAGTAAACTATCAGTAGCTTATAAGTAGTTTATAACTTTTTAAATACAGTAAACTATAAGTAGCTTATAACTGGTTAAAGACAGTAAACTATAAGTAGCTTATAGGTAGTTTTATAACTGGTTAAAGACAGTAAACTATAAGTAGTTTATAACTGGTTAAATACAGTAAACTATAAGTAATTTATAACTGGATAAAGACGGTAAACTATAAGTAGATTATAAATAGTTTAAAACTGGTTAAAGACAGTAAACTATAAGTAGTTTATAACTGGTTAAAGACAGTAAACTATTAGTAGTTTATAACCGGTTAAATAAAGTAAACTATAACTGGTTTATAACTGGTTAAATACAGTAAACTATAAGTAGTTTATAACTGGTTAAAGACAGTAAACTATCAGTAGATTATAAGTAGTTTATAACTGGTTAAAGACAGTAAACTATCAGTAGTTTATAACCGGTTAAATAAAGTAAACTATAAGTAGTTTATAAGTAGTTTATAACTGGTTAAAGACAGTAAACTATCAGTAGTTTATAA